ATAATAAATAACATAAAACATATTCGCAAAACGTTTGCTTTTTTCTGCGTGCATGAAAGGATGGTCGAGGGGAAAGAGTATGAAATATCCCCCCACCCCCCACCCCCAGAATAGCAAAGACGTCGAAGCCATACTCAGTCCCAGCATATGTAAATAGTGATTGAGTGAGTGAGTGAGTTAGGTTTAACGCCGCTTTTAACAGTATTACAGTTACATCACGGCGTGTCAGCTTAATGTTGGAGGAAAGCCTAAAGTGATGCAGGTCTCAGCCGTTTACCACTTCGGTGAAACCCATGAGCACGGGTCTGGTGCTGACAAACCTAGAAACATAATCGGGGAGAACCGGGATTCGAACCCACGTGCCCAAGGGACGCAACTCTGCACAGGGAATCGCCGCGCCTTAGACGACTGGGCCACCCGTGCCCCTGCATGTGTAAATACGTCAGCACAAATACAATATGTATAATAACCTTGGCGTTACCAAATGGTTTAAGTGTACAAAATAGTTGACTTGCCCATGCATATAATAGAACCATAACACGCCTGCGTGTGAGCATTCAGAGCTACAGGTCAGACATATCAGATCACGCTCACGAGACCTATTTGTATGCTTGTTAAACATTTCATATCCATGAGGCCTATTAAAAAGGTCATATCCTGGTCTGCCCAAGCCTGAGCTATGATTGGTTTATGCATCTACATATACGGGTAGCCTACCCATTAGATGCAAGTGTCCGTATGATAATCACCAACGGGCCATGAGTACACTACTACATCCAGGAAGTGTTTTCTAATTGAAACAAAAATGGCATTGGTCGTGACTACACAGGGAATGTGTTGATTCTTTGTGACTCAAAATAGAATGTTTTCTCGTCAAACATATGTTATGTCTTCATTGTGATGGACCCTAACTCGAGACAAATAATTTTGAGTTGGGGTTAGGGTGGCCCAGTCGTCTTAGGTGCCGCGATTCGCTAGGCAGAGTTGCGTCCCTTGGGCATGCCCCAAACCTTTGATCGTTCGCTCGAATCGCAGTTCGCCCCGATTTTGTTTCTAGGTTTGTCAGCACCATACCCGTGCTCGTGGGTTTCACCAGAGTGGTGAACGTCTGAGATCAGCGTCACCTGCTTTCCCCCCACATTAGGTTGAAACGCCGTTGTATAAATGGAATACTGTTAAAATCGGCTTTAAACCCGTCGTTGACTGGATTATTGATGAGTGCAGCTTTAAACAACAAACAAACAAATCAAAGTAGCAGATTATAATGTAAATTGAATTCAAGTTCTTAGTGATAAGATTATGTTATTGCAATGTCCCAAAGTATATTGCAATGTATATATACCATGCAATGAACGTCAGATCCTCTGCATTATAGATGTGACATTAGGTACGATATATCTATTCCTATGGCACCAATCACTACTGTATGTATATATGTACTTTCGGCGTTTGACCTTTTCAGTACTTAAAATAAAAAATAACAACATATTTTGGAGGAATGTTTGGTTATTATCAGTACATCTATATGAAAGGTGTGTGTGACTTTCTGTTGACCTAGATGCGCATTGTGTTTTGTTTTCTGTTAATCAATCTGTAACGTCATCTGTAGAGTCAGGTGATCATATTAATGCTCATGAAAAATAATACTTTTTAGTGATCAGGTAACAGTAACTTTTGCATTTGAGTATGTCATGTTCGAACCGCTGTAGAGTATTTAACCAGTGTGATCACATGTAGAGAAAAACCGGTATTGCCCTAATGTGAGTGAGTGAGTGAGTGGGTGGGTGGGTGGGTGAGTGAGTGAGTGAGTGAGTGAGTGAGTGAGTGAGTGAGTGAGTGAGTGAGTGAGTGAGTGAGTGAGTGAGTATATTTTTACACCGCTTTAAGCGATAACCCAGTAATCACACAGCGGGGGACACCAGAAATGGACTTGTACCCATGTGAGGAATCGAACCCGGATCTTCGGCGTGACGAGCGAACGCTTTAACCACTAGGCTACACCACCGCCCCTCATGTCCAAAAGAGTACACGTCAGGTTACACGGACATGTATGGCGTTGTTGGTTCACGTGATGACACAGTGTTCTCATGGGAACTTATCCAATCGATCCATGAAGCGCCTCATATGTTGCTGGAGATTTAATCTAACCCGGAATCCCCACGGGGCATGTAAAAACCCATGAATATTTATCAAATTCTTTTCTTTTCTTCTTTTTTAACCTTATTAGGATGGGATGGATGTAACTTTACAGATAAAATACGTTGTCCCTTGTTATAAGGATACAAAGGCAACATATATTTCAGTGAAACATAATGGGCTCATCGATTTAGCTAACTGTGGAATTTATAAAATGTCGTAAACTAAGGATTGATATATACGTAACACCACCAACATACATATAAATCTGAAACAATAAATCAGGATAACAAGAGTGACATAACTCATTCCATAATAACACCAAACATCCATTTTCCATTGTGTGCTAGTGTTTATTAATCACTATCAAATAGTGACGACACCAGGTGTTCGCGAAAAGGTCAGCGTATTCTTCCCTACCGGTTGCATTCGTCACCCACACATACAAAGGTAGGTTTAGTGTCCGCCTGAACAAACACGGGAATGTCCAATGGGTGGTACATGTTAAAATAGGAAATCGCGCTTTACCAGGAGATATCGCTAGGGTGATATCAAGCGATATCTATACTGTAGATATCGCTGCAATAAAATTGCATCACAATGCTTTGCGGATCGTTGTGACGTCATTGTTACGATTGCTGGCTAAAAAGTTCTAAGCCTAAGTGGGATATCTCAATCGGATTGAAACAAACTTTTGCCACCAACAAGTACAATCATCTAATGAATCATAGACATAAGAACTGCAACTGTAGTGTTATTATTGTCTTGGCACCATACTATCTTGTGAACCTACCCATTGAAATCACCAGAAATGGACAAAACTGGCTATAGGGCAGTCATCTAGTACCTAAAACTGAAAGGGCTAACTCTTACTGACATGGTCTCCACTTTAGGGGATAATGCCCCTTCCTTTTCCAATGTAAAGAAGTGGGCTGCGGAATTCAAGCGTGGCGGAGAGATCGTTGACGATGACCCGCGTCCAGGAAGGCCTTCAACAGCAACTATTCCGGAAAACTTTACCCGGGTGCATGACATCGTGATGGCTGATCGACGATTGACCACTCGACATATTGCCAGTGCTGTGGGCATCTCTCATGAGAGGGTTGCGCACATTATCACCAACGAGTTGGGAATGACAAAAGTTTCTGCAAGATGGGTGCCAAGGCTCTTGACAGCGGATCAGAAACGTGTCAGATTCCTGACGTCCCGTGACAATTTATGTCGTTTTGAAGCAGATCCCGATGTTTTTTTGGCCTGATTTGTAACCATGGATGAGACCTGGATTCATCACGTTCATCCAGAAAATTCAGAAAATTCAGAAAATGCAGTCTAAACAATGGAAGCATCCGGATTCACCATCCTCCCCCCCCCCCCCCCCTGTTTCCCAAAATGAAAAAGGAACTAGCCGGTCGCCATTTTTTTAGGGTGGCTGAAGAAAATTTCTTCTTGGCCGGCATCCAGGCCTTGCAGCATCGCTGGCATAGTGTGTAAACCTGGAAGGGGACTTTGTGGAGAAATAAATGATTACCATCGACTTGGTACGGGTCTTTCACAGTTAGGCTTAGAACTTTTCAGCCAGCCCTCGTATCATGACGTCACAATCCAATGACATTACTAATGACTCTGCTACTGAAGCTGTTAGCAGTACTTTTTACACTTCAGACACTGCTTATTACTTTCTACAAACTGAAAAAGGTTGGAAGACTGATGTTGGATGATAAATAAAATCTCACTCTCGTGTATTTGATATCAAATATATCAACACTCGTTGATAAAAGTGGAAAAACTCCTCGGCAAGCCTCGAGAGTTTTTCAACTGTTGTCAACTCGTGCTGATATATTTGATATCAAAAGACACTCGGGTGAGATTCTCTATTTATCTGCTGATGTAGTGATGTGATGCTGATGTACATGTAGTGTTGTAGCAACACATCACCCTCCAGCAACACAACACTACAAAGACAATACAACATCAACAACACTTCATCAACAACACAACACTACATCAACAACACAACGTTTCTCTTGTGTTGTTGGTGTAGTGTTAAGGTGCTGATGTAGTGTTGTGTTGTTGATGTAGCATTGTGTTGCTGTAGTGGTTTGGAGCTATGTGTGTTGTATTGCTGATCTAGTTTTGTGTTGCTGACGAAGTATTTCTTGCTTAATATATATTGTTATGTTGCCGATGTGATGCAGTGTTGTGCAAGGTAGTGTTGTGTTGCTAATGTAGTGTTATGCAAGGTAGTGTCGTGATGCTGATATTTATTTTTGCTAGTGTAGTTTTGTTTTATCAGTATTCTATATGAAGTCGGTGGGATGGGCATAACGTCATTTAGACCGCCTCCATGGTCTCGTGGTAGAGAGTCCGCCCAGAGAGCGGAAGGTCCGGGGTTCGATCCCCGGCCGCGTCATACCAAAAGACGTTAAAAGATGGTACTTGTTGTTACCCTGTCTGGCGCTCGGCATTAATGGGGCTAAAACAAGGACTGGTCGGCTTGGAGTCAGTATACTGTGTCTGAGTGGGGTATTCATGTTAAACTGCGGCATGGTATCTCAGTGAGCTAGCACTATTAATCGGCATCAGTCCGGTAGGTACAAGCATTCACACACATACACGTGCATGCACGTCGCTATATAAGTGCAATGATCTTGGACGCGACGTTAAACCCCATTTCACCTCACCATAACGTCATTTGACATCCTACCTCATTTAAAGCCCTGCAAATATACTGGGGAACAACCAACCAACCACTTTGTCTCTAATAACACAATTAAAAAAGGCCTATTCCGTGTAAGCTTTTGTGTCCCAGGTATATCCCTGCCCCTTACATCGCGTGACACACATTCTCCACATAACAAGTTACCAGTGTACCCGGATGTGTCACGTGGCCGGATCGGCAATTTGATAGGCGGCTGTAAAGATATAAATTCCCTTGATACAAGAGAAACGCTAATAAAGAAGGTTGCTATCCTTGAAAACACATACAAGAGTTGATCTGTCTCAGGTAAGTTTTATTAAGGAGGTTGTTAGCGTTAGTGTGCATGTGTTTTACTTGTTTATCATGCATTGATAATTTTACAGATCTTTCAAATGTTTGTTTTACTGACGTACATGTAGCTTAGCTGGATATTGGGATTTACAGTAATAAGTTACATTGTGCGAGTGACACGATATATGCATGAAGACGTTAGAGTGTCTTATAACAAAAATGAAACACATTTGTACAGTATAATATAACATTGTGCATGTGACAATATATATGTCATGCATGAAGACGTTAGAGCGTCTTATAACAAAAATGAGTCAGGTTAGCTGTACATTAATATGAAATCGATAATATAATGTAATTTCAGTTTGATTGTTGTTTAACGCTGCACTAAGCTTAGTGCGCTTTCATTCATAAGATACGTTTTGATATTCGCTCATTGTAATATAAACTGTGTCAAAATGAAACTCGTTGGGTATTCCGTATTTGTCTCATCGACACGCAACTGGCTTCTGTTTTCTTTGTTTTGTTTGCTGTTTATCACCGCTCAGATTGTAAATATTTTAATATAGAAGACATATAGTGTCAAAGATAACAAATTATTGCAATATACACTCAGATGTCAATCCCCATTCATTCACCCATTGGCTTAACCCTAACCAAATATATAAGTAGATCCCAAGAGGCTTCTATAACTGGCTAGCTCCACCGATTCGGTTTTGTTTGTTTGTTTGTCTGTTGATTAACGCCTCATATTGTGATCGACGATCTACGCCGTCGGCTTACGATGACACATTATCAACCAAGTCACCGAACCTGACCTCACGATCCACTTAGTCGTCTCCACACGGAGGAAATTTTAAAGTGCACATTTGTGATAATATTAAATCTTAAACCTATTTTGACCTGTCAAAATCCATATAATTTATTCTTTTTGGAACAAACATATTTGGGATTTTTCGAAGGAACCAGTTATCGTTTCAAATCTCAAATCTCCGAACATATCATACATTAACCCACATAGATAACATGCTTACTTTAAAAAATGAACAATTTTGTTCGGAGGGGGATACAGGCATGCGTTGCATGTTTTGATGCACCACTCGCAGTTGTGTACGCGTAGTCAATTGTCTCTATAACGGATTTCAAGAATTAAAACTGAGAGATGCTATATTCCTAAAGACGAATAGCTAGCTATTGCTTCGCCCAAACTTGAAACAGTTTTTTTCTAAAAAAAGCCAACAAGCTGCACTATTCTTTGACAATGAATCACATGGTGGATTTCTCTTCCTAAGCCTCCTTTAAAGTAATATGCATAATTTATACATTACCATACTTTATGGGGGCACGGGTGGCCCAGTAGTCTAATCATGAGGTGCCGCGATTCGCTGTGCAGAGTTGTGCCCCTTGGGCACGCCAGAAGCCATTGAATGTGGGTTCGAATCCCGGTTCGCCCGGATTATGTTTCTAGGTGTTTCCTCCCACATTAAGCTGACACACGTGAGATAGCTGGAATAACGTTAAAAGCGGCGCTAAACCCACCTCACTCACTACCATGATTTATTGTTAACGACAGTACAAACATGTATACATTGAAACGTTACAGTGTATATGCCCATGCTTAACCTGTTCTCTATCATGCATAGTATATTCAAGCATGTGTAAGAATATGTACCAGGACCCTCCACCATAAATACGGAACAACTTTGTTAATCGTATGAGGTGAGGTGAAATGGGGTTTAACGTCGCCTCCAAGATTATTGCACTTATATAGCGACGTGCATGTACGTGTGGCTGCTTGTACTAGTCCGGACTGATGCCGATTCATAGTGCTAGCTCACTGAGATACCATGCCGCAGTTTAACATGAATGCCCTACTCAGACACAGTATACTGACTCCGAGCCGACCAGTCCTTGTTTTAGCTCTTTAATGCCGAGCGCCAGACAGGGTAACAACAAGTACCATCTTTTAACGTCTTTTGGTATGACGCGGCTGGGGATCGAACCCCGGACCTTTAGCTCTCCGGGCGGACACTCTACCACTAGACCACGGAAGCGGTCTGAATCGTATGATAAACTGTAAGTATATATAACGCTATTCTATTGTCTTTATGTAGAACCACAATGCTGAGGCCGGCAGTGCTTAGTTCGCAGCTGATTCTGTTGCTGATGGTGGCTCAAACTGATGCAGCATTGTCCTCCCTCAGCGTCAACACTGACAGCATCAGTGTTAGTGCAGTCCAACAGGAAACTGCTGTTTCGCGGGCCCAAGTTCAGCTTGAGGCGGAACGCAGTCAAGAAAGTGCCTTTCAGGAATTGGGTGAGACACGGCTCACGGGGTGCTATAGTGTGTTCGCATCTTCCAAATTTCCAAATCTTCCGATTCGATTCGATTCGATAAAAATTCTGTTGTGTATCATTAAACTGAAAGTCTTTGGTCGAATGAATGTAAGTTCTTCAAGACATGTCGCCTTCATGTATCAATCTGTAACTTGATTTTGTTAGTGCACATGCAAAGCCTCCTTCGATTTAAAAAAAATAATAATTAAATATTCACCACATGTTTTTCTTGCTTTTCATTTCTAAGAAAACAATATTTGCAGCAAAAATCGTCAGCATAACAATTTTTCTGATTAAAGAAAGAATGGTTCTTAATACCGTACAGTTATCGCTGCTTATGTACAAAAAGTCATAATGATCTTTTATTCATTTTCCTTAAAGAAAAGGATGACGAAACGCGTTTCACTATATCTTCAAAACAACATTCTGTGGAGTCATGATTTGTTTCTCTCCACAGACCTAGCTGCATCAGAACCTGGCTCTACAACGGACCAGCTCAACAAGTTCACATTCACAGCACCTGAGAGTATAATCAAGGGAAACAACCATCGCATCAATGTCCTACAAGTTACACAGTTGCTGCAGGCGTAAGCATGCTTCCGAATTGAATTATTAATAATAATATAGATACGTTATACCACTTAGAACGGTTTATTTCACGATAAAACATCTTTTCATCATGACGTCATTTCTGGAGATTCGAAGATGCGCTCGCAGCTTGATGACGTCGTAAATTGGACGACTTTATATTTGATGGCGTATGTTTGAGAATAAAATGCATATACTCATTTGTCATGGCCCTTGTCCTCTCGTTATACATATTGTATGTATGTATGTATGAAAGGTATACTGTCGGTATAAATAAACTTAAATTTAAGTTTTAAATGCATCCTCGAGATTTGCTGATTAAGTTTAATTAAGTAATAAATAGATTAACATGTTCATCCCCGTTAGAATCCCTTTTTATCACAACTTTTGAAATGTATCACACTTTGAAATACACTGCTTGTAATAGAAACGGTGTCCAATGGAAAAAAGACACTTAGCATTCAATAGTCGTCTCATCGACAGCCAACTGGCTTCTTTTTAACTTCTTGATCAGGATAACGGTGTTATAACCTACACCGAAAACGTGGCTCCGAATTGTAATAAATAAGTTATATATTTTATCCTTACTTGGCTTCTTTTTTCTAAAACACAGCTCTCCTGTCAGGAAAAGTATACGATGTATGCCAGATAATACATACGAGTCATGAAACTGGGATATTTTGGTGATTCTACAAGTGAATAATTGTACGTTTGAAATATTAAACCACAAAATGTTGTGATTGTTAAACTAGGATAATAGGACAAATGTGTTTAAATGTCAAGTGAATGTATGCGTTTTTATTTCTGACTTACACATTTTCTGTGCCCTACGTCTTTCATTCCCTCTAATTATCTTATCACATGTTATGAAACACACAAAGTTCAATAGAACACTTTATATTCGTCATACTGCTTTATGTTAAAAGTAACCATTGTCAATAAACTTATTAAACACAATAAACATTTGTTGAAAGATATAAACACTGTGCTTTAAATATCTTTTGTGGAATTTGAAGGTGGTTCGTATCGCCCAGTTCCCTGGAGCGCCACTTTTCGCTCTATACAAATGCCATGCTTTGGCGTCCGCTGATTTCGAATCCCAGATTAACCGTAAACATGATCCTCGGATTGTCAGTACAATAGAAATACCATGTTTGTTGGGTTCATCAAGGTTGTACACGCCTAAGATATGTCTCACGTTTGGTCCTCCTAAACCCATAACAAGCGATGGTAAATAATATGCTGTTCAAAGCGGCGTCAAATGCAAGTCATCCCGGGATTAAATATTGACATCGTTTACTAATGCAGGGCGAACGTATCACAAGAGAAGATCCCTTCGTTCCTGAAGAGTGGTTTTGGTCCAAGGCTCAACTGCGCTTCCAGCCTCAAGTGCAACAAGTACTCCAAGTACCGCACAGCTGATGGTTCCTGCAACAACCTGGCGCACACAAGCTGGGGCAAGGCATCCATTCCGATGAGGCGATGGTTGATCCCAGACTATGATGATGGTGAATATGTGACATTATATAGTGGGGCACGGATGACCCAGCCTTCCTGGGACCCGCTATTTGCCCTGTGACTCTCTTTCCCTCGGGTGCCAGATTCGCCCCGATGATTTTTCTAGGTCTGTCGGCACCATACCCGTACTTGTAGGTTTCATGACACTGCATTCATCATGCCATGATGCTCTTGCAGGATAATGATTTGGGATGTCACGGAACTTCACATTTTATTATTCGGTTCATTATATCGGTTTCCTTAAACTGGAATCTGTTTTAGGTGTCTCCTCCCCACGAGAAAAAGCCACCCTAGGGTCGTCCTCCAAGTTACCCAGTGCCCGCCTGGTCAGCACGACTGTCCACACCCCGTCAACAAACGCTGACCGCCACGCCTCCTACACCCACATGTTGATGCAGTGGGGTCAGTTCCTGGATCACGACATCACCAGCACGCCAACACAGCAGCTGTCTGGAAGTAAGAGTAAAAGCTTTTGTGAAGATGAAATTTAAGAAATAAAGTTTGCTCTACCCCTGTGTAGTGTAATAAAGTATAGTTTTGCCCTGAAATATTATAGTTAAAGCACGAGGACGCTTGACGTGATAATAGTTGAGGGCAAAATTTATGACACTACACATGGGGGTAGAACAAACTTTATTACTTTTCTAAAATTCCGAATTTAAATCAGTGTTTGGAGATCAAATCTGTACTAATCTTGCCTTAAATTGAAAGTCCTCGAACAGGGCTAACTGACGGGCTGTTCCACTCGAATGCCTGTGCCCTTAGGTTAAGAGATATATTTACGTTTTGAACATAATACATCACTTAAATGCGTAGTTTATTATTTAAAAAGGTCATATTTCCTGACTGTTCATTGTGTGGGTATCCCTAGAACCCATAAAGCAACAAGAACGATTTTTATATTTAAGTTTTCATATTAATTTGGTTCAATGTAATCACGGGAAACATTCAACAAGTGCATTGTGGGGCCGAGCTAACGTGTTAACATAACCGAGGCAAACCCATTGTACTAATCCTACTTATGTCCTTGTCGATACAGGTTCGTATGGCGGTTCTGTTGGGTGCTGTGGTTCTCAGTTTCATAAAGGAAAAAGAGCAGCATTTGTACATGTACAACCACCGCCACCACATCAAATCAACAGGTGGGCACATTACAATTATACCTAGGCTCCTATACATTGTCCGCCTTTGCCCGTCAGCTTTCATAGTTCCGTCAGACATTATGGGACTTATGATCAATGATTACTTTACTTGTAATTGTTTGTATATTATATAATTGAAAATTGTATTTTCCGACGTACACAAAACTAAGATCGCAATGATAGCGATGAGGACGTGAAAATGTCTCGACACGTTTTGTTCTGACTAGCTGTGCACTTCTCATCAAAACAAACGTCGTCGCGATCATGATATTCTATATTAGTACTTTATATAAATGAGACCTTATTTAATTTTTTTGGTCTTCATACTACCATTCCACAACACACACGATAGTGGTGAGTCTTAATACATGCTTTAATGATTACACTAGCTCACATTGATCCTTTGTTGTGTTGTAACGATCCTTTGCTTTGGTCCTTGCAGGCCCCAGTGCTTCCCCATCGATATTCCACAACCCGATCGACACTTCAAGTCAACCTGCATGAACTTCGTGCGCTCGGTTCAAGTAGCGAACGCCGACTGCCAAGCAGGTAACGTGATACACATTCTTTCATAATCTCATAACGATATATAAATCGTGATAGGAGTATTGTTTTCGGTGACACAGTCGTCTAAGGCACCACACTTTTTAAGTAGAGTTGCGTCCTGAGGTCATGGGTTTAAATCCCATTTTTGACAGCATTATAAATAATGGTCGAGGCAATTTCGACTTTTGATAAGGTAACCAATAACAGTTCACTAGTGGAGTCAGTCCTTACGAGAAGAGAAGGTGTATATGCCTGCCATCATTCACTTCGCTTATAATGTGTGGTGCCGTGAGCTGGGTTGTACAGCGCTTTGAACAATAGTTCAGTTCTATCAGGGCTTAAAATCCAAAGTGCATGTCATAAATGATAATGCATAATCTTAGATGTTTACCATTTTGGTGAAGAGGGGCATAACGATAGTCCTGACGAACCAAGGCACATATTCAGGGTGATTCTTGGATTCGAATCGACGATCACACCTAAGGGATGCAACACTTGACAGTCATTTGTGGCGCCCAAGACAACTTCATGTCATACCTGAACTATATATTATTTATGACCCAATACTAACACAATTTTAGTTTTCGTCTGTAAAAACACACACAAGGACACACATCTAAAGATTTGTACACTGTACACACCACATCATGATAGCTTTTACACACAGGACCCAATTACCATTTTAAAATCTCAGTTCCACATGCAGTAGTAAAATAACTCAAATTTTAGATAATAAGTATATTTGGATCTACACATATTGGATTTGACGCGTTAAAATAACACAACTGGCCTGTTTTCTCAAGTTCTGATTGTCTTTAAGTTGTTTTTTCGTGATTGGTATTTAAATACAATGTCGATCATAGCCAATTCAAATACAAGGTGGATCATGGCCAATTTAAATACAAGGTGGATCATGGCCAATTTAGGTACCTTAATCCAGAAGGAACATTAACACGTATAAGGTGGGTTTACCTGGTAGGTTTGTTGGTGATTTTAGCAGAGAATGATATCTAAACATTGTCATCATAGAGAAGTTTTGTCTTTGTCATCTCCATAAATGTGACTGATTGTAAATGTGCAGCGAAACATGACCAATGTCTAACTCTAGTGTTTATACATGAAAATATATTTAGATTAGTGGCGTCACGGTAAAGCATACTTTATAAATAATACTTTAAGAAGTGACGATAATATTATAAACGCCAGCGTCATGAATTGTTTGGTTGGCATTACTTAGAAGTTGACGGATGAAGTAGAGACAATTTATGGATAACAAGTTCTTTACAGAGGTATAAGCATCTGTACCGAAACGTCGCCTTTAGAGTAAATAAAGAAGTTGTTTTCCATAAATTATCTCTACTTTGACAGCTACATGTCCGATTTAATCTACGTTCTGGCGAGTATAATAAAGTGACTCTCTATTGATTACTAGTACTTCAGTAATTAGTAATACTATAGAACACACAATGCAGTGATGTAGTGAAAATGATGACGTATATGCATTGATATGCATTATATCATACCTGCATACATGTCATCGTCATTCAAAAGCGTTTTGTCATACATAAAGTACCTTATTCTATGTGTCTACTGAATGGCGTTTTCAAAAGGAAACATTATTCCAAATAAATACTTGATTTAGACCCTGTCAAGTGTACCACAGCTGGGGATATACATCGAAATCGGTGTTTGTATGAACACCGACTTGGATGCTTTAATTTTCTAAAGCACCTGCCGTAAAATCTCAAATGTAATCACGTTTGGAAGTGCAAATCCGCCCCTTATGTGCATCAGCTTCAAAATCTGTGGAAACAGTTGAGGCATGGTCTTTTAAATGTCCAATGATTTCAAACGTTGATAAAACTGACCACTTTACATCCAAATATTCCTTTATATTTAGGCCCCATTTGGAATACATGGAAATACTTTTCTGAGCATCTGTTCCTTACAATTTTGGTAGACCTGGTTGCATATGCCAACACCATTTGTGGTAGATGATGTCGCCTACGGGCATAGAATCCTACAACTCCAAACACGAGGGCATAAATGTAAATGCACTTTTTCATGGGGTGGTGCAGGGACACATGCTCGATGTTCAAATAGCACTGTATGTTTGTTCCAGCGCCCGTGGAACAGCTGAACCAGATCACAGCCTACATAGACGCCTCACAGGTGTACGGGTCGTCACAGGGGGAACAGAACAAGCTACGAACATTTGTGAACGGTAGGAGCAAATATTAACGGTCAATTCAGCCGGAGGTATAATTGATTTTCCCACCTGAGAGACGACTGATCTCATCCCTCAGAGATGACTGATTTATTACATATTCCCATGTCAACCTTGTGTAGCAGAACGTGGAGTCATCCCACAGATGACATCCTTACCTTGTCAGCTTGACGGGGTTAACCTCTTTAGTCATGTGGACATGGCGTCCGACCTCGGACCAGAAGGTCCGTGGTTCGAATCCCATCACGAGACTCGGAAATTTTATGGCCGCTACACTTGCAAGCTACGAATAGAAACACACTTCGCAGATTTAGACAATTCACCATAGCCATATTGGCTGTATTAGCGTGGGTTTTCGAATAAGGAAACTTGTCATCAGTTAATACAATATGTAGTCAGTCCTCCGTCATGAACAATGGATGACGTAACCTTCAATAATTGAGAGAATGTAACGAAATGACGTCATTTGAAACAATAGGAAAGTAGGGCGTGAACAAGCCAATACTTGAACCACAATTGATAATTTTGAGTCAATCTTAGCGGCATTCCTTTCCTTGAAATACTAGATATGCAAAAAATCAGTATATACTTTGAAATAAAGATTAACAGTAAAGTTGTCCCATCAATCCAGTCTTTCAAGAAGTTGTTGTGATATTTACCTTGTCCTTTTTTTCAGGTCAGCTGAAGATGAAATCCACTCACTTGCCCAAAGATGCGCAACAAAGCTGCACCACGCCATTGAGCCCCAGCTACTGTTTCCTAGCAGGTAGGTAGAGCGCTTACAGGCCAAAATATGTGCAGGTGAAAATGTGACAGAATGGTAGTTCCATGAGTATCGTAATATCCTCAGAGCACATTATGCATTAAACATTTTGTGATCAGCTATTCTGTTCTCACGTGCGAATTACAAAGATTGTAGTCATAATTATTGAAACTTTTGTTTCATTCAATCGCAGAACATTGACAGTTGATAACAATTCTTACTGTTAAGCCGAAAAACTATTTGTTTCTGGTCCCTGCCTATGCAATTTTCATCCCACCATCACCCCTACCCCTATTCCAACCCCAACCCCTACCCTAACCCTTACCATTAGCCTTACCATTACCCCTACCCCTACTCCAACCCCTACTCCAACCCCAACCCCTACTCCTACTCCAACCCCTACTCCAACCCCTAGCCCAACCCCAACCCCTTCTCCAACCCCTTCCCCAACCCCAACCCCTACCCCAACCCTACTCCTACCCCTACTCCAACCCCTTCCCCAACCCCAACCCCTACTCCAACCCCTACCCCTACTCCAACCCCTACCCAAACCCCTACCCCTACTCCAACCCCTACCCCTACTCCAACCCCTAGCCCAACCCCAACGTCGTCGCGTCATTTCAGGGCAAATCAAAATGCCAAACATAATACTATTTTTGGCCTTACGAAACAATAATTATTGTTATTGGTTTTTAAGGTGATCATCGAGTGAATGAAAATCCAACTCTTCAGAGCATGCACACCATTTTCATGAGAGAACACAACCGCATAGCTAAAAAACTAAAAGCCCTCAACTGTCATTGGAGCGATGCGATCACTTTCCAGGAAGCTAGGAAGATTGTCGGAGCCATCATACAGGTACATGTACCAATCTACTTTTCAAGATTTACTGCTTTCTTCAAGCGGGCATCTACATATTCCTTAACTGTAACTTATATCGAATATCTAGATGACCCAGGGGAAAATCGCTGTGTAGCGTCAGGGGTTCGAAGCCCACGTTAGCTCCGGTTATGGTTTTTTGTCTCTCTGTACCCTAGCCGTTCTTGTCTTTCTTAAAAATTTGACATGAAGTGATAATCTGAAATACTGTTTAATGTGTTGATAAACCCAACTAACTCACTGGAATATCAAAATAAACTATGATGACTTGTACATATGATCTTCTTGCAGAGAAAGGATATGCACATATATATGACGTGTAAATGGATCGTTATATGTGTCTACTGCGAATAAATGTAAATTTAATGCACTCGGGATTTCAGAAAATCACGTACGATGAATACTTGCCTATTATCATGGGCCAGCAAGCCATGACCCAATATGGCTTGCCAATTGGATCTGGGAGCATTTACGCCAACGTATACAGCACTACGACCGACGCCAGCATCAGGAACGCCTTCGCTACGGCGGCTTTCAGAATGGGACACTCCATGATTCACAGCCACTTAGCTAGCTACAGCTCTTCATATAGTAATCTCGGCCAGGACCAACTAAGCAAGACCTTCGGCAGGACGAATCTCATTTTGAACGTCAACAACAGGAAGGTGGACCATTATTGTAGAGGGCTGGTTAAGGACGGAGTTCAGAATGCAGAACACAAACTGACGCAGGAGGTCACGGACAAGTTGTTTGCTGACAGTAACGGCAATAGTCTGGACCTGGCAGCTCTCAACATCCAGAGAGGAAGAGACCACGGGCTACCGTCTTACACCAAGTGGAGGAAGTATTGTAACGTTCCAACAGCTACATCCTTCGCTGGCCTGGCCTCCACGACGCACACAACAACTACAGCGAACCTTTTGAAGAGCGTTTATAAGTGAGTGAGGTCCCTTTTCAGATGAAACGTAAATTCATCACATCAGTTTGTAAAGTATATGTAATTGTACACATATGCATTTACCTGTCATTCTTGAAAACTACTTACTATTTACAAATATCAGTTCGCAGATAAATCAGTTGACCCAGACAATCTATTGTTGTCAATGTTGGACTAGTATAGTGTATTGGTTTGCTGCAAATGTTTTTGGGGCTGTCGTGGAGCCGAATGGTAAAAGGTCTGGTTTCGAATCCCCACATGGAAACATTGTGTAAAGTCCCTTTCTAGTTTTCTCACGTGCTCTTGTCAGAATCCTTGTAAAAGCGTCGAAAATCAAGCCCTTAACTCAAATGTTTCTGGAGTTCCGTTAGAATAATAGGCATATCCCTTAGCCTTGTGTAGTAAATAATAAATCCAAAAGAACTGTAGATAAGCGCTTACTAGGACAAAGGGTAACACCCTGTTTCTATTTATGCTGATGGGAATTAGGGTCATAATATGTCCAATGCCGCTCCTATTTGATAAAGAGGCAACTAAATGAGGATTGGGTGGTTCACTCTGTCACTTGGAGCATTGGAAGTCATCGTACATGTACCTAAATGGCGGGGATCATTGCTCGTCACTCATTTGTTACCATTCCGTTGGGATATTGCTGTTTGAAGCGCTACACGACATTCAATCACTCAATTTACTTGTCCATCTAACGAAATATCTGTTAGGCCGGTGCTTCCCAGACTTTTGTTGTCAAGTAGAACAGAGGTGGAACGTGTTTTTCCTATAGAAAGTATAATCCACTGAGCCAACACCCTGAATCACACCGATCCATAGTTACATGTCTCTTTCCAGACACATCGACGACATTGACCTGTTTCCCGGGGCTCTGTCTGAGAAGCCTGTTCCAGGAGGACTTCTGGGACCGACCTTTACCTGTCTCCTGGGGAAGCAGTTCCAGGCCCTGAAGGAAGGAGACCGATTCTGGTTTGAAGAGAACAACGCATATGTGAAATTTACTCCGAGTGAGTTATAGTTTTACCATGATTTTGAAACACTCGGTTCTGATTGGTCCATCAGAGGTTGTAGAACACAATAACCACTTCTGATTGAAAACAAGTAACCTGATGGCCGCATCATCGGAGAAGCTATTTTTTAAAAGAAAAGTTCCCCTTTCTCCTTCATTGAACGTGGGCATTTTGATATGATGGTATGACGATTATAAGTTATGAAATGCAGAGTTGTATTAAATACATGACAAATGCATGTTGAGCAAGAAGGTAAAGTAAAAATCGTCTTCATTTTTTCGAAGCGCTATCTCTGTCGATGTTGTTCTGTTCTGACCATTTGCATTTCGGGAGGAATATTGGAAAAAAAGTATATTAAAAGATGTTGTCAAAAAACGTGTCCGAGAAGAAACTCATTAATAATGTTAAATACTGTTACCCTTGGGCCATATGTAACATAAAAAAGTATTAGTTTCTTTGATATATACAATGATGATTCATTATGATCAATGAAAAACAATAAAAGCAAAGGTAGAGATTGATAACCAATAGAATTCTTCATATTTTTTCTTGAAGGACTTGGGTAAATGGGTTCATAGATATAATATTTAATATTTTTTAAAAAACAACATAAATTAAATTCAACAATGAATAGGGGTATTAATACATACATTCCTAAACCCAGTAAAGACAGAAAAATACTTGAATCCTGGCGCCTCATATACAGCTATATGACGGCAGTTGGTAAATAATCGAATCTGGACCAGACATTCCACTGATTGATATCATGAACATCGTTCCACGCAATTGGGATCGATGACATGCATCAACCAAGTCAGCGAGCCTGACCACCCCATCCCGTTAGTCGCCTTTTACGACAAGCATAGTCGTCTTTTACGGCAAGCATTGGTTTTGAAGACCTATTCTATCCCGGATCTTCACTCTCCTTGTACTAGTCCGGACTGATGCCCACTTATAGTGCCAGACCACTTTGTTACCATGCCGCAGTTTAACATGTATTCCCCACTCAGACACAGTATACTGACTTGGAGCCGGCCAGTCCTTGTTTTAGTCCCTCAATACGCCAGGCAGGTTAACAACAAGTAACATCTTTTAACCGTCTTTTGACACTGTTTCAAAAGCATTCAGATTGCAAGTATTAGAAAGATTAAGCTTTGTGTACAATATGATCAAATGGATAAATATGTTAATAAACAACACAGCATCATATGTTATACAACATGGACATATCTCAACATCTTTTACATTAGAACAGGGATGCAGTAAGGGAGACCCAGTATCGCCAAATCTATTTATTTTAGTTCCTGAAATACTAGGATGCATGATAAGTTAAAGCCCCTCATTAAAGGATTTTACACTTAATGCTGTAGAACAAAAACTTGGACACTATGCGGATGACAGTTTTAGATGGATCAGAAGGTCTTTCTTTCTGTAGCTTTTGAAACATTGAATATTATTATAAGTCCAACAAAATGTCAGGTTTGGAAATAAATATAGACAACATTTGTTGACACACAGGCAATTTTGAAATATTAGGTATAAATCGTAACTGTTATTTGGGGCGGTCGGGAAGCCTGGTGGTTAACGCTTTCGCTCGTCACGCCAAAGATCCGGGTTCGATTCCCGACTTGGGTACATGTGTGAAGCCCATTTGTGGCGTCCCCCGCCGTGATATTGCTGGAATAATGCTAAAATCGTCGTAAACTCATACTCAGTCACTCACTTAACCGTTATTCGAATAAAGGTTTGAACTGGAACCTTTTATTGATGCATTGCAGTTCCCTTGCTTTAACTATATTTACAGAGTAACAGACACATTCACAACAACTTCCCGGTTCAAGACATATTTCTGCTTAGGGCTAAGCCAAGACAATCCTAAGAATAAATTCGTATACAAAGTTATTTACACAAAAAAAATAATAATAAGATGAAATTGATTGATAATGATGTCTGCTCCTTTTGCAACTGTAACAGCGAAGATCTTTTAAATGTATATTGTGATTGTGAATTTGTTCATGTTTTTTTGTAAGCAAATGCAGTCATATTAAAAAAAGAAGCCTTAAACTTGATATCACTTTCACAAGATATATTATTGTCTTCGGAGTTGACACTAATAACACTGTTCTGGAGTAGGTAAAATATTTATTTATGTCTCAAGCATCAAGCAGAAAATGCTATCATTTGAATCTATTTTTAAAGGCTGTCGCGGACATTTGTAAAACAGAAAAAAATATATTGCTTAACAAAGAAATACCCAAAATTTATTTCACAAAAAAATGAAATTATTCGGTAAACAAACTTTCTGTTTGATCAAAAATCACTTCACATTTGATGTTTTCAGTTTGAAATCCTACTCATCGTTTATTACTGTATTTATAAGAACTAATTTTCTACCCATAGCAAACAATATTGTCTAAATTTGATTATATTGTAATGTCTTGAAGTGAGGTACCTGACAACACTGATCGATTGCAGCACTCAAAATAGAATGTAATTACAAATCTGAATGGATCGATGCTCATGATGCCAATCACTGGATTGTCTGGTCCAGACTCGATTATTTACAGACCGCCGTCATGTTGCTGGAAAATTGCTGAGTGCGGCTTTAAACAAACAACAACAACAAATCTGAATGTTACACATCACACATTTGTTTACACCCATATATCCCTCCCACCATGTACACATTAAGTAATATCGCATGCAGTTCTGCTTTACCTTCTTTACTATATTCTCCTTATACTATTAAAATGGAATAAGAACGGTTTGAAACAAAAAGAATTATGATTTATTATCAGACCAGCTGAATGAGATCCGGAAAGCCAGTCTGGCCAGGGTAGTGTGCGACAATACGGACACCTACAAGATTCAGAAGAACGCTTTCATCAAGGGATCTCCGTAAGTAGTATTCAACACTTTGTATTTATAAACATTATGCATAAGAATGTTAATTTTCACATGCAATAACTATTACTAAGTGTACAACAGAAATCACATTTTTTCCTCATCTACGCTAGTTGTCAAGAAAGTTTTGCGAATTTAATCCATTTTCCAGGGTTTCATGCGGTTCACTGGGTGAAATTAACCTCAACCACTGGAACGAGCCGAGCACAGGCACCTGGAACACCTGGACGTCCTGGGGAACATGCTACTCAAACAGACAGAGTAGGAGACGCTTATGCAAGCCCTGTGGCTGCTCTGGTCAGAGCTCTCAGAGTCGTACATGTGTTGGGTGCAGTTGGTCCAGCTGGGGAAAATGGAGTAGCTGTGTGTCCGGAAGAAGAAGCCGCTCTCGCTACTGTCCCAACAACCAATGGCGTGGTCGCAGACAGGCGGGGTTGGAGCAGCCATTGGATGCCTCTTATAATCCTATCCTTCCTGTTGATTCCTGTATTTGTTCAGGATCAAGCACACAATATGGATCCTGTGGAGGGAATTATGCTGTAGGTCCTCAGGAATTTTTAAAACCTGAGATCTAACGTGGTCAATCATATATCATGATATTGAGAAGAAAAGATTTACAACCGTGGCACTTTCGATAATATGATAGGAACCTACCATCTCGTTTACTCTTTTGTCCATTATGTGTTAACATACGGAAGCAATTTGACACTTTGCTTGATCATCATGTGTGCAATCTTGGAAAAACATACCCATTAATCACAACTGATATCAGGGTCATAAAACGAAATCTATACTTGTCCATATGAGTGCTGGTCAAAAAATTCTAAGCCTAATAAACAAAACAAACAACTGTGAAAGTGTTTTTAATCTAATTTTTCAACATAATCCCTGCTTTTAAATACACTTCTCACATCGAGAGGGAAGCTTTTCAATCCAGTCAGGAAGACGTTTTCTAGAACCACCCTGTAATACCAAATCACGGCAGCTTTGAGGTCATCGTTGTCGGCATAGCGCTTTCCATAGAGGTGTTTCCTTTCGGTTTAGGAAACAGGTGGAAATCACTTGGTGCCAGAGGGGCGGTCGGGTAGCCTAGTGGTTAAAGTCGCTCGTCACGCCGAAAACCCGGGTTCGATTCCCGACATGGATACAATGTGTGAAGCCCATTTGTGGTGTCCCCCGCCGTGATATTGCTGGAATATTGCTAAAAGCGACGTAAAACCATACTCACTCACTCACTTGGTGCCAGATCTGGTACGTATGGAGGGTGAGGGGGCTCTTCGAACCCATATTTTCGCACAGCAGCAGTCAGCATTTCTCGCTATTTTTCTTTGATAGAATCTCTCAGGCGATGAGGTAAGTCAGCATAGTAGGCACCGGTAATCGTCTTTTGACTTTCTAAGTAGTAAACAAGGCTCCCAGAATACGGTGGCCATAACTTTCTTCACTGATCTTAAAGACTTAAATTTCTTTGGTGCCATTCCATGGATTGACGTTGTAAGTCGGGATCATAGTGGTGGACCTACATGTATGTTTCATCACCCGTTACTAATCACTTTTTGAATGTGACGAAATCCTCCTCAAGTAGCTCTAAATTTCCCCTGGCAATGTCAGTTTCTTTGTCCTTAAGATCAGAATTTAGAAACGTTGGCACCCAACGAGCAGATATCATATTCACCTGCCCTTCCGGTGACACCCTACACAGACACATGCAAAGGCAAATCAATTGTTCACCTGAAAAGAGACGTAAACATATGTCTTATACTGGACATAATTAATGTTTGTCACTGTTGCGAAATAATGTTGAAATCCTCCACGTGCCTACAATAAACATTTCTGAGAGCTTTACGTGAAGGCAAAACTCTATTGTTTGTTCGTTTGTTGTTTAACGCCACACTAAGCAATATTCGGCGGTCTGTAAATATGAGACTGGACCATACAATCCAGTGATTGACATCATGAACATCGATCCACGCCATTGGGATACGATGGCATGCATCTACCAAGTCAGCGAGCCTGACCACCCGATCCCGATCGCCATATACGACAAGCATAGTCGCCTTTTTACGGCAAGCATGGGTTGCTCAAGACCTATTCTACCCCGGTTCTTCACGGGTCTGCTACCGGTACTGCTAACCACCAGGTGCTTGAATGTATGCTTTACTTGAGGGAGGTGGTCATTGGGTGGCTTTCCTCCTGGGTTGGCTCCTTGCATTTGCCGTGGGGGTTCGGGTCCAAACTATTTGCATTCCCTATCTGATTTTCGTTAAACCAGGCGCATGTACATTCGTCTGACACCTATGCACGGATTTCCGCGAACGAAGCTGACCCGTACACCTGGGGGAAAGGCTCGGACACGGCCGACGTTGTTGTTGTTGGTTTGTTGTTTAACGCCGCACTCAGCAATATTCCAGCTATATGACGGCGGTCTGTAAATAATCGAGTCTGGACCAGACAATCCAGTGATCGATATCATGAGCATCGATCCACGCGAACCTGACCCCCTGACCACCCGATCCCGTTAGTCGCCTTTTACGACAAGCATAGTCACCTTGTACGGCAAGTATGGGTTGCTGAAGACCTATTCTACACCCGGAATCTTCACGGGTCCACGGCCGACGTACCACTCAGACTATTACTGTTACTAGGGGTCCTGTTAAAAGTTCAGTGATGCATAAAAAGGTCCTCGCTCCAGTTAAAACTAAATAATAATTTATGTTAAAAATTGAATTACATGTTCTACATATAAATGAAGACATCGCTTGAACTGTTGACAACTATTAAATTAAACATATCGCTTTAATGATGAAGTGTACTTAAACACAAACCAAATGTAATTTGGAGTTCATTTGTCATGACATGTTTCCAGTTAACAAAAAACAAAGTTAACATACTGAACCGCAAAAGAAACGTCACCATGGATAGATTGATGAGAAACCTTAAATTGTCCAAACACAGTGACTGTAAACATACTTTGAGACATATTAAAAAGATGAAACTTGGCAAAACTGATCATCAAAGTCGAAATTAAAGTGTCAAATGTTCTTAAAGTGAAACACAACACTAGTCTCTGAGAAAATGGCATCACAAGTCAGTATCTTGGCATTTGGTAGCAATTCAATAACGAATGAATGTTATCCGATCTGGGAGATGTTTTATGTATTGGAGAAAACACGCTCACGAGGTTTTGGTAGACAGAGCATGCCCTGGGGAGAGGGAAAAACCAAGGAGGCAAAGCCCCCTGCGTTTTTTCCCGACCCCCAGGGCATGCTCTGTCTACCAAAACCGAGGGAAAGTGTTTTTCCATACTTATAAACCGAAAACAAAACTTAAAACAACATTTATCAACATTTTTATGTTTCGAACATACTTTCCATGAACCTTTGGAAACGCGCGTAAAATATCTGTTGCTGGCGTACGGATCTTGAAAAGGACATTCTAAAAACCAGTGACGCTTATTAACACCTCTGTAGCCTCGTGGTACACTCACTGGGCTACATATATGAAGGTTGCGAGTTCGATCCTCGGGAATATAAAGAAAACATTTGTCATTTGATTTTATAATTCATTACATGTTACAATCTGAACTGAAGTTATATTAATAAAATGCCAAGGACATTATATAAAATCCCAGGGACATTACAACGTCCCTGTTTATAAGATTTAACCCGACTGGAAAGTAAAACCTCACAAAAAGTTTTAATGCCTATAGAAAGAAGTCTCTTACTTAATAGCGATCCCAATGAAAAGGTTTATAAAGAGCAAGAAATGGGGGAACGCATGTGCGTTTCTGTTTGTACGGAACTCACCTGCATCGGGTTACCATGGCCGTTGCCGTGATGTGTTTGGGCGATCGGTTTTATTGTCATCTGCTTTGTTTTTTAATCATCAAATTTCATTTTTCCCGACAAGGTAATGTTAAATTTTAGAAACTTTGACAAACATTACAACTTGTCATGCAATATTACTTTGGCTGACGTTTCTTTTGCGGTTCAGTATAGATGACTGATTTCATCCTCTTTCGTTCCTAAATTAACAATTTCAGGAGATCCCTCAGAGTGAGTGAGTGAGTGAGTTAAAATTTAAAGTCACATAGGCAGTATTTCAGCCATATCGTGACTATCAAATCTTTTTCATAAGAAATACAACAATAAAATATAAAACAATCAATCAACAACACATATAAAAACGGACTATAGCTCGCCAGCAACTGAAGGTGGATCTCCATACCAGGTTGGTTGGTTTGTTGTTCCAGCTATATGACGGCTGTCTGTAAATAATTATAACCGAGTCTGGACCAGACGATCCAGTGATTAATATCATGAGCATAGATCCACGCAATTGGGATCGATGACATGCATCAACCAAGTCGGCGAGCCCGAAACCGTTAGTCGCCTCTTAAGACAAGCATAGTCGCCTTTTACGGCAAGCATGGGTTGCTGAAGACCTATTCTACCCCGGATCTTCACGGGTCCACCATACGAGTGAGTGAGTGAGTAGGGTTTAACGCCGCTTTTAACCTTATTCCAGTTATATCACGGCGTGTCAGCTTAATGTGGGAGGAAAGCCCGAAGTGATGCAGGTCTCAGACGTTTACCACTTCGGTGAAACCCACGAACACGGGTATGGTGCTGACAAACCTAGAAACATTATCGGGGCGAACCGGGATTCCACCATACGAAGGACCATGGGGACTTACATTACTTTTGCTTCATGCATGGACCCACGCGGTATTTACATCATCCCTTTAGGTGTTGGCGATTATTGACTAATTTAGCCAAAACTAACGCATATTCTACGATTAAAAACGTGGCAGATGTAAAAGTACTTTGAATGACGTGGTCTTACATACTCTCTCAGGGGGAGAATAATTTTACACTACTTCAACCCCCATCGAGGATACAGCCACTAACAATCTCAGAGATATATTCATTCTACCAACTGTAGAAACAGATATTGAGTATATACAAATCATATCTTACTAACAGAACACCCAGGAACCTCATTTGTTCTGCTGGGGGATATGAACGTTAGAATAGGTTCAGAACAATGTTACATTGAAAATGATGACGTGTCTCATCTTCCACTTGATGAATTTGAATATGATAATGATTATTTTGATATACAGAGAATATCCAAAGATGAAGTTATAAATGATGAAGGGAGACAACTGTTGTCTCTATGTCGAAACTTCAATATGCATGTCTTAAATGGAAGGGGAGATAATGATAAAAATGGAGATGATACTTATATAGGTACTCAAGGAAATAGTGTCATAGATTTTTGTATAGTTTCTACCTCTTTGTTTGGAAAAGTAATTAACTTTGATATTTTAACCGCAACTGAATCAGATCATCTTCCGATAACAGTAAATTTATCGTGCGACACTGCTAGGTCACATGACCCAGTTCAGCCACGGATTGCACGTTCATGTGCTTACCGCGTGGAGAGGTTTACGTGGAGACCGGCATGTCGCGGTGAGTTCAATCAGTATTTCCTAAATATTGTTGATGAGTATTCACAAAAAATCCATAACGTTATTGATATGGATATTGATCTTGCAGTAGAACAAATCAACTCCTTGTTTGGTGACTGTTTTAATGCTGTCACGAATATAAACCCACGAAACATGAGTGTAAACAGTAGGAACAGAACATACAAAGAGCAACCCAAGTGGTTTGACAGTGAATGCCAACAACTTAAGAAATACAAATATAAGCTACTAAATAAATTTAGGAAAACAAACAACACTGTACATTGTCAAAATACCTTGATGCTAAGAAGGAATTCCAAAGAGTTTGTAACGACAAAAAGATAAAATATGAAAAAATGATACTTGAGGAAATTATTGACGCCGCTA